CAATATTTTTCTAAGACCATTTCGTGCTTCACATAATAAAATACACAATGGCTGTAGCCTGATTATGCTTTAGGAGCTGTAGGTGTGTGTGGTACAGTGTGTAGGTGTGTGTGTGTGTGTGGTACAGTGCGTAGGTGTGTGTGGTGCAGTGTGTAGGTGTGTGTGTGTGGTACAGTATGTAGGTGTGTGTGTGGTACAGTGTGTAGGTGTGTGTGTGGTACAGTGTGTAGGTGTGTGTGTGTGGTACAGTGTGTAGGTGTCTGTGTGTGTGGTACAGTGTGTAGGTGTGTGTGTGTGTGGTACAGTGTGTAGGTGTGTGTGTGGTACAGTGTGTAGGTGTGTGTGGTACAGTGCGTAGGTGTGTGTGTGGTACAGTGTGTAGGTGTGTGTGTGTGGTACAGTGTGTGTGTGTGGTACAGTGTGTAGGTGTATGTGGTACAGTGTGTGTGGTACAGTGTGCAGGTGTGTGTGGTACAGTGTATAGGTGCACTGTAAAATGTTTGGCTGTAAAATTACAGTAAAATACTGGCTAATAGTTGCATGGATTTCACAGTAATTGACTGTAAATATTTCACAGTAATTGACTGTATATATTTTACAGTTAATTAGAATAAAAGTACAACTAAATACTGTGACTTTACAGTTGCCATGCCCATGGAATTACTGTGATATAGCAGTACAGAGCTGTGGTATTATGGTACCTTGCTGTACATAAATTACAGTAATTACCTGTATGTTCACACTATTACTGTAGAAGTAATGCAACACAGTAGCCAGTAATTTACTGTAAATATACAAATCTAAATAATACGATAATATATTGTAAATTTGACTGGGATTGTACCATAATTCAATCAGCTCAATCAACAAAGAAAATGCCCATTTTAACTTTGTATTACTCCATTGAAGTGCAAAGTACATTTTACAGTGTCTTGGAAATGTTGTTACGGCCCCAACCTCTAATCCGCGGTAGTGGCTTGTACTGAGACCCGCAACATGAAAGAATACACGCAATAACCGGTACTTGGTAACGAGCATTTATTGATAATCAGCCGTTTGCTCACACAAGCGAAATGGGAAACAAAAAGAGGTCTGGAGGACTGGCCAAAAGGAACAAACAGAAGGAGGGAACCCGAGCCAGCCACACCATGGGCCGTAGGACCCAGAACTCCCCCGCCTAACCAAAAATCAAATATAAACCCTATGGGAAACAAAATAAAGCCGCAAAAACTGGACTACCAGGTCCTCCAGGCTAAACATAAACACATCTGCAAAAATATGGCCTACAGCTCAGAATGGCAAAGAGGTATTCCAAGCACAGTGTCTCCGGCGTTAGGATAGGCGAGACATCCTTCTCCTCCAGCTTCTCTTTATATATACACACGGCTGAGTGGAATTTCGAACACCTGGGCAGAGGCGGAGCCAGGGGCAGACCAGGTGCACCTGGGCAGAGGCGGAGCCAGGGGCAGACCAGGTGCACCTGGGCAGAGGCGGAGCCAGGGGCAGACCAGGTGCACCTGGGCAGAGGCGGAGCCAGGGGCAGACCAGGTGCACCTGGGCAGAGGCGGAGCCAGGGAGACAGAAAACAAGGAGGGGAGCACTTAACACATGTCTACACAGACATCTACTCAAAGTCAACAATTTTTCTGAAGAATGTGCTGACATGGGGGTTTAAATTGCCATGCCTCTTTTTGGCTTTCGAGCCCGTCTCAGGGTTAATGCCCAGGAAGCACCTGAAAACAATAAGCCAAGACAACCATTTCAATTTTACATAGATTTATATGTTGCCTCATTTATTTTAAGGCACATGCAGCGGTGCCCCTTTCAATTTAAGTAAAACCTGCACCAAAGAAATAAATTAGTATTTAAAGCCAAGCAAGAGCGATAAAAGCAAGAACATCACTTAATGTGTTGTGTTATCACAGAGGATGGTCTGAATACAGTATTTTACTATGAAATAATACAGTAACATGTTGTGAAATCCTGGTAATCATTGATCCTGTACATTCACAGTAATTAACTGTGCCTGTATTGATTTCACTGTGAAATTCTAAATTACAGTGTGATATTGTGAACATTACAGGTAAAGACTGTAAAGTGGTAAAACAGTAATTTATTGTAAACTATTACAGCTAAATATTGTGAAATCATGGTAATATTTTTGTGTGTGTGTGTGTGTGTGTGTGTGTGTGTGTGTGTGTGTGTGTGTGTGTGTGTGTGTGTGGTGTGTGTGTGTGTGTGTGTGTGTGTGTGTGTGTGTGTGTGTGTGTGTGTGTGTGTGTGTGTGTGTGTGTGTGTGTGTGTGTGTGTGTGTGTGTGTGTGTGTGTGTGTGTGTGTGTGTGTGTGTGTGTGTGTGGTGTGTGTGTGTGTGTGTGTGTGTGTGTGGGGTGTGATGTGTGTGTGTGTGTGTGTGTGTGTGTGTGTGTGTGTGTGTGTGTGTGTGTGTGTGTGTGTGTGTGTGTGTGTGTGTGTGTGTGGTGTGTGTGTGTGTGTGTGTGTGTGTGTGTGTGTGTGTGTGTGTGTGTGTGGTGTGTGTGTGTGTGTGTGTGTGTGTGTGTGTGTGTGTGTGTGTGTGTGTGTGTGTGTGTGTGTGTGTGTGTGTGTGTGTGTGTGTGTGTGTGTGTGTGTGTGTGTGTGTGTGGCGGACAGACAGGTATCAGTTGGGTTGGTGTCCTCTGCTTACTTTTAATACTTGCCAAGTGCTCTCATACTTGTCTGTTTCTGAAATTATATATATTTAAATATGTGTGTGTCCGCATCTGTAGCCTGTTATTGTCTCATTATACCGCACTGTGAATGAATCAAAGTAAATATATAAGTGGTCATGAACACATCTGTCCATCAGACAGAGGGCTGCTGTGCCTCCTGTCATCATTAATGGACGTCTCTTTAAAATGACCGCTCAGAGGAGAGGAGTTCTCATTTCTCTAACCGCCTGCTGCTTCCCCTCCTCTCTCCTCGGTTCCCCTCCTCGAGTCCTCCACTCGCATCTCCTGTGGGCGGGACTAAGACACGAGGATAGGAGTTGAGGAGGGGAGTCGTGGAGGGGAGGGGAGTTAGAGGAATTAGAAACCTTCTATGAGACAGGTGTATATATACCCACAAGACTAATGACAAATACAAGACACAGGAGAAGGCTGGATGAAACACTAAGGCAACAAGTGAACACAGCCAGCCAATCACAAAGACAGGAAGTAAAACAAGACAAGACACAAGGAGAAAAGGCATTTCAAAATAAAACAGGAAACCAAAACTAAGATCATGACAAAACTTGTGATTTAATAAATCCTTTTGGTACGTCCATGTGTTCAATTCAGATGTATGGCACAAACTGAGAAACCTTTCTCCCTTCTTCAGATTGAGTTTTTTTTTGTTAAGTTAATTCAATATTAATACAGACAAGGCACACGTTTACAGCATTAGTTAAAACATTAGTTAAAACTCATAGCATAGTTTAAAATAGCCCTGCCATGTGTGATTCCATTTAACTGTATTAGTCAAGGACTTCAAATATCATGGCATAGTAATAAATTCTAGTTATATTGTCCAAGTTCTACATTAACATGTGAAAACAGTCTTCACATAAAGTAACAAAGGACAACACATTTAGCCTTTAACCCAGCTGTGAGATGGTGATATAAAAGCAATCAGTGCACTGAGCGGCTTCTATCGGCTGGTTGAAGTTACAAACAGTAACCCTGGAGTACATTTTAACAAACTGTAATAACGTCATTGAATATACCAAAGCCCTATTTACTGCAACTTTAATCCTTTGGTCCTTAGTGCCATGTACATTTTCGAATTTATTTATTTTAAGCTCAAACCACCGGAATTTGTTATGATAATCAAGAAAACTCTCCTGGCGAATTTTCTCCTCAATCTGACAACATGTACCCCCCCTCCCCCTCATCAAGCTGGGGTGCACACCAGCAGCACGGTGCTGCAACTGAGGCTAAACTTCAAGGTTGATGAGGGAGGGGTAAATGTTGTCAGATTGAGGAGAAAATTCGCCAGGAGAGTTTTCTTGACTAGAATGAATTCTGGGGGTTGGAGCTTAGACTTTCAACTTTCAATTTTGAGGACCACCCTAATGCAGATGAATTATATGGCAAATGTCTGACTTTGGCAAATCTAGTAATAGAAAAACAATAATTTCCAACCCATGGATCTGACCCTGGGACTCGGAGAAAACACACCAACCCAGCAGCAAGAACAACTATTAAAGTGATTTTAAAAGCTAAAGAAGAAGGATTTTATAATCACCTTGGAAATATGAAATGTTTCAATGCATTGTTTCTTTATTTTCCACACAAAAATAAATTCAGTACACAAGCACAGTTCTTTGTGTATAAAAGCTGTAACCAGGGTAACCCAGGTCCATATTCTGTTTTCATTTAAGAAATCTGGCATCATCTAGTTCAGCCTTTACTAAATGTACCTTAGCTTTTCAGTTTCCAATGGCTTTGTAGTGGGAATATCTATGTTTTGAGATAACATTTAAAACAAAATTCCTTTGGAAATTCCTGGTAGCAAGTAATGTGTTTTAGGAATGTATTATATTGATTCTCAAGTATTTTTATATAAGGTTTTTCTTATCTATTAGAATAAGCATTTATTTGAATAGATTCATTGTCCTCCCATAGCTGATATACAAAAGGAGGCAGTGATGATACACCTCCGTCTTCAGCTTGATATTGACTGGGATTTGAGGAGCCTTCAGAATGACTCATCTTTAGATACATTTTTTTGTATTGCTTGCCCTGTTTAGGATAATAATTGATGCTTCAGAATAGATGTGTACAATGTGTCTGCACCCTTGAATTTGCTTGTTTTGTTCATTTTCTGTTTCCCTTTGTCCTCGGTCTCCAGCTTCTGTGTCTCTGCTCATTGATATTTCCATCACATTGACAACATTAACTCATTGTCCTACGATTGTCTTTTGATGTAAAAATGAAGACTTTTAAAACTATTTTATTCTATTCTTGTTTCTTTGCTGCAGCTCCCCATCCTGGCCTCTTCTGTTGTCAGTCTCTACTTCCTGGAGCTGACGGATATTTTCCAGCCGGTGCATTCTGGGTACAGCTGTAATGACCGCAGTCTGTCTCTGCCCTACATCCTGCCCAGACAGGAAGTCTGCACGCTGCCTCTGCTCTTCAGCTTGGCCTTCGCGGCTCCCACCGCCACTGTAAGTAACCTCATAGACATCTGACAGCTATCATACTGAATAAATATTTACTGTGAATGTATGCAAAAATGTATGGCATATAGCTGTCTAACAGAAGTTAAAGTCATTTCTCACTTATTCTGACAATGTACTTAACCCCAAATAAAAGAACCCAATAAAAAGAGTTGTTAAATAATAGTGAAGTCACGTTGTAATAACAATAACTCATCTCTCTCTCATTTTCTTTTTGAGCTTTGCCAAAAGCCACTGTGTCAATGTTGTCCTACTTGGGTTGCCGTACGGAGTTGTCCAATATGGCGGACCATCTCGCACATGTGCACTGCAGATAGGGCAGGGCGGCAGATCAGGTAGTGACAACCATGCTGTTACCATGCCACGGCAACCTCTCATTCCCCTGATTGGTGGAGAGTTGGCCATATAGGCGGAGCTCCTCGTCACTGACGTCACACTATTTTCAAATCTGTATCAGATCTGTTGCAGCCTAAACAATACTTGTGTATTTTTTTACCAGTGTGAAGTTATATTCTACACAGCTGAAATTGCAAGGGTCAAATGGTTTCTTTTACACCCCTAAACTCAAAGAGGAAATCCAGTCTTTACATTTATAGATAGGGTCTTACAAAAGGGATACAAGTTTTAACGATGCCTTGAATATGTTTTCTTAAATAATTGGGAACAAGATACGAACGCATGTTCACTTTTGCTGTGAATTCTCCTCGCTGCGGAACTAATAAAGGATATCTGATTGTTTGTTCTGATACATTTGTCAAAAGGAGATTAACTAAACGATTGGGACACTCTTGATAAGACCTCAAACATATCTTAGGTGGAATCAGGGCGAGGGGTTAGTTGATTAGGAGTTGAAGGCAAGAGTGAAAAGGTGAGTTTTGAGGGATTGTTTGAATGATGTGAGAGTGTTGGCGGATCTGACGTGGCTGGGGAGGAGGTTCCAGAGTGTGGGGGAGGCTGCAGCAAAGGCCCTGTCACCCCAGGTCCGGAGCTTTGTCCTGATGGGCTGTAGTAGGTTAGCTTCAGCTGACCTGAGGCGATGGGTGGGGGTGTGTCGTTTGTTGAGGTCACAGACGTAGGGGGGGCAAGGTTGTTGAGGGCTTTGAAAGTGAAAAGTAATATACAAACACAATTCCAAAATTGTGGAAGTCAGCGTTTGTCCTGCCTCTACTAAAAGGTGGGGAGGCCACTTTATTAAATAATTATAGGCCCATCTCTAAATGATCAGTTCTGGCTAAGGTTCTTGAAAGCCTAGTGAGTGAGCAGGTAAAGGTGTTTTTATGTACAAATGACATCCGGTCTAAACATCAGTCAGAAAGCAACACAGCACCATCACTGCCACAATGAAAGTGGTGAATGATGTGGCGAGTATTTTAGATAATAAGCAGAGTTGTGCAGCTCTATTTATTGACCTGTCCAAAGCATTTGATACCTTCGATCATCGCATCTTAAAGCAGAGGCTACTCAGTATTGGCATATCCAGCCATGCAGTGGGTGGTTTGTGAACTACCTCTCTGAAAGGTCCCAATGTGTTCATTTTGATGGGCTGTCTTCTGAGTGGTTAAACATTACTAATGGTGTTCCTCAAGGTTCTGTTTTAGGTCCACTTTTATTCTCCATCTACATCAATAGTTTAGGTGAAAATGTCGAGTGGTTACCTGTTACAAATACCTTGGTATCTGGCTTGATGATTGTCTCACTTTTAAACTTCATGTCAATAACCTGCTTAAAAAGATGAGGGTTAGGCTAGGTTTCTTCTACAGGAACAAGTCCTGTTTCTCGCTTGAGGCCAGGAAAAGGCTAGTCACTGTGACCTTTTTACATGTGCTGGACTATGGTGATTTGATGTATATGAATGCACCTGCCAATTGCCTGGTCAAGTTAGATGCTGCGTATAGTGCACTGAGATTTGTGACCAACTGTAAAGCCCCTGTCACACTGTCCCGAAATTGACACCCGATGGACACACGATAAAGGAAATGTTCAAATTCGGCTGTGATCGTAGCAACATCGGGCCATTCGTGAGGGCATCTAAGCCATCGTATGACCGCCGGTGGAGTTTCTCAGGCTCCGGCAGCAACTTCGTGAGCGGCAACTTCGTAAGGCACTCGTGAGGGCATCTTGTCAAATCGTGTCATCTTCGTGTTATCATCGGTGCATTCACCCTCACTCTGATCGGGGCGAATGCCCGATGGCACCGATGATAACACGATGCCCTCACGATGGCCTTACGAAGGGCACAATTGACACACGAATTCAACACGAAAATGAACCTTCGCAAGGTCCTTCGGCAATTTTTTGGCATGCCAAAGATTTTGCCACCGCTCACGAAGTTGCTGCCGGAGCCTGAGAAACTCCACCGGCGGTCATACGAAGGCTTAAGATGCCCTCACGAATGGCCCGATGTTGCTACGATCACAGCCGAATTTGAACATTTCCTTTATCGTGTGTCCATCGGGTTGTTTTATTGCACAACAAAATCATGTAAATATATTATGTAAATAACCCAATTTGTGTTCTGTGAAACTAAAAAGGATATCATATATTATTTTGAAGGACAGTTGACAGGAAGTTGTTGTTGTTATGGAAACAACATTACGGAGAAAACGTAATATTTTCTACATATAACGACGGATAAAGTAAAGAACAAAGTCTGAAAATATCAGTACAGTATCATAGTACTGTAACATAATTGTTTTTGGTCCTTTCATTGCAGTTGTATGTCTTAAATGTAATGTAAATGTTGCCTTCGTGTGTGGTTCGGGGCCATCTTCGTGCGAAATTCACAATTCCATATTCGTGTGTCCATCGGGTGTCAATTTCGGGACAGTGTGACAGGGGCTTAAAGCATTAACCTATCACTGTACCCTATATGCAAGGGCTGGTTTGCTTTCACTAACTGTACGGAGGCTCAGTCACTGGTACATTTTTATATATAAAGCCATGTTAGGGAAACTTCCATCCTACATCTGCTCCATGATCTCACGGCGAATTGTAAGTGGCTACTGCCTGAGATCGAATGCTGTGGTTTTATTAAATGTGCCAACTGCTAGGACTGTCTTAGGGAAGACAGCTTTTAGATGCGCAGCTCCTCTGTCTTGGAATAGTCTGCAAATTAAATGGAAACTGAGCAATCTGGTGCAACTAAATGTTTTTAAAGCTCGGTTGGATGCTACTCAATCGGAAGCTGTTGGTACCTGTTCATGTGGATAGCTATGTACATTCAGGGTAAATCCCTTTAATGATGCTGTATGATGTCCTTTTTGTTGTTCTGTTTCTGTTTTTCTGTTTCATGTGGAACCTACTTGAGCAGGTCTCCCTTGAAAAAGAGATCAATGATCTCAATGGGATACACCTGGATAAATAAAGGTTTGAAATGAAATGAAAATATTTTAAAATCAATGCGGTGTTTGATGGGAAGCCAGTGGAGGTCATGGAGGATAGGGGTGATGTGGTCGGAGCGTCGGGTGGAGGTGAGCAAGCAGGCAGCTGAGTTTTGGACATATTGAAGTTTTAGTGTGAATGCAGGTGATCCAAAAAGTATGCTGTTGCAGTAATCCAGTCGGGATGTTACGAAGGCATGAATCAGAGTGTCAGCAGCGGTCGATGAGATGGAGGGTCTGATGCGGGCGATGTTCTTTAAATGGAAGAAAGCGTTTTTTGTGACCTGGTTGACGTGAGAGAGGACCAGTACTGCAGGAGAGGGCAGTACCGGTAATGCCAATGGAAGACTGGAGGTGGTTGATGAGGATGGAATGGTTGAGCGTATCAAATGCGGCTGTTAGGTCAAGGAGAATGAGAATTGAGAGGGAACCAGAGTCAGCAGAGAGGAGAATGTCGTTGGTGACCTTGAGTAGGGCAGATTCTGTGCTGTGGCGAGTACGGAAACCAGATTGAAAAGGTTCATGAAGGTTATTGCAGTCCAGATGGGATTTTAGTAGGGTTGGACTCATCTTTTTTAACATTTGAATAATGATGCAGTGCTGATTGACAATCCTGTGCCTGCAAGTGGCAATTTTAGGCATCACTCAGATTTATAAATTAAAATGTAAGTATACCCCCCCCCCTCTACACCACGGTTTCCTGTAATCACTCCTTTTTGACCTGGAAAATCTGGTCAAGACCAAAATCTTTACCGTCAGCATATACATTCAAAATAATGATTTAAATTGAATGTTATTAATATATAATGAACTGGATTTACAAACATCAGTGTTTGTTTTTTTTAACACTTTATTTTTGAAAGTTTTCATTCCAAAGAAAAATCATACAGAATGTCATTGAGCAGTCAAATACATACTGTAGATGCAACAGTGCACATTTAAACCAGACTGCCAAAAAGCAGATCAAATAGACCCCCCACCCCTACCCCAGCATGAAAGAGAAAAGAACAGAGTAAATGAGATAAGTGTACACGTTCTCACAAATGACACAAAAATTAAATTAAAAAAAAAACATACAAAGCAAACGACAAACAAAAAGACAAGATATATGCAAAACGTACAATATTGCTTTAGAAATGGTAGTAGCCCAGATTCAGCAACACTCAAATCTATACACAATCTTCTTTAAAGAGTTAAGTCCAGCTTGCACTTCTCTACGTGTGTGATCAATGGCTGCCAGGCCTTATCAAATCTATCAGTAGATCCCTTCAGAGTGGACCGGATTTTCTCCAGACGCAAAAACTGCAACAGGTCTCTAATCCAGTGAGTATGGGTGGGTGGGGATTCATCCTTCCATTTAAGAATAATTAGTCGTCGAGCTATCAACAATGCAAAAGCAATGGCATTTAATTTATATTTTGGAAGTTGAGCTTCTCTAGCAACAACTCCAAACAATGCTGTCAGCAGAGACAGATTGAGAGGAATTTCCAACACTTCTGAGAGAGTTTAATAAGTCCAAAAAGTGTGAATAAGACTCCCTACTTGATTCTTGCACCTAGCACACATGGGGCTCACATTAGGATAAAACTTGGCTAATTTCGCTTTAGT